TGCCACTGCAGAATTGATATTTTTGTATGACGAGATCCCAACTGCACTGGTGTTGTTGCTGTTTGATATGAATGTTTGATTTTCCTCTTAATTGGTCTGTTATGCTAATGGGCTTTGAATTTGTCCATACTTTGAACTCTAAGAGAGAAGGATGGCTATGAATAGGGAAATGTAGAATATTAATTCCAAAATGTACAAAACTTGCCACAAACTCTTCTTCCTCCTTTTTTTCCTGGGTTAAAGATGAAGAACTGCTGAACCCTGTCCACATGGCCATCTCACACGAATCCATTTTTTTTTTTAACGAAGAACCATGTAGACATGGCCTTCACGAAGTCTAAATATCTCTTGTATCCTACACGGATTCTTCTTCTTTTCCTTGTTAAAGATGTAGAGCCCTGTTGACATGGCCGTCAACCCATTAGGATTACCTTCACGCAGTCTAAATTTCTCTTGCAAACATAGTTGTCCTTTTCGGGTTAGTGAAAGTGCAGGCTTGAAGTGAAATTTCTGTATCATTGATTCATTGTATTCCTCATTAACTGACATTGTTTTAAAATTTTCAATATTTCGTTCCTCAATTGAACAGTCGAAGTCTTTGTAGTTGGTTATCGTTAGTTTCAGTTTGCTTTGGGTTTTTATTCTTTTTACTTCCTTAAGGAGTTTATTTGTCTGTCCAGGGATGGGAAGGAAGGCTGAATGTTGGTATGTCGAATTCTGTGACAACTGCAATTCGCGGAAGCGTACGAGATATGGCCATTGGTAAAACAAAAACAACAGAAAAAGCAGATCGAACATGAAAACGAAATTATGATTCTTTCGGTGCATGTTTTTATTTGCTATAATTTTTTTGGCTATTGTGGTTGTATGTGGAACATTAATGAAATTGGAGTTTTATACCGGAGTTGTGTCTCAATATAGGGGAATTTGAATTATCTAAACAACATTTTGGAAATTATGATTTTTATTGAATGGATCTTGAGCTGGTTTGTTAAGTTAGAACTTTTATATTTTTGCCGAAGTTAAGATTTTCTTGAGTTGGATTTTTTTGTCTTTCCCTATCTTATGCGAACCTCTGATGCGATAAATTTTACTATGTTTCAAAATATTATATTTCTTTCTTTCTTTTTTTTTTTTTGTTTGGTGGGGGTTGGGGGTGGTGGTCTATGGATTATGGACACAAGATGTTGATATTATAAAATTGGGTATGCCTTCATACATGCTGATGCTTTCAGCCTGGCTCAAACATGTATATACTATTAATTAGTATTGGGGGTGGCGTTAAAACAAGCATCTCTCTAAAAGTTCTACTTAACCCGTCAACTGCTAAAACTTTACACATCACATGTACTAAAAATGTAGTGTACAAGGAAATTATTTTGTTTATACATTTATAAAAGACGTTGTCGAAGCAATGCAGATGTGTTATATTTTTAATAATACTCACATTTAGTTCTGAATACTGTTCTAATGATTATAATCTATGCCTTTTTTTTTTCGTTTTTTGTATCCATTCGGTGGCGACATTACGTACTACTTCACGTATTTATATTACAATTTCTCTTTCCATTTGTTCTGTTGTTTTTTTTTTATATTGCAATGAGAACGTGTGATTAAAAAATATAAAAAGAAATTGAGTTTACGTGCAGAATATCTTATTTTGTGAATGTGTGGTTGAAAATGAGTACGAAGAAAAAAGAGTTTTCAAATAATGATTATCAAACAAGGACTTATAAATTCAACGTTTTATTCAAGTAAAATATAACATTAATTTCAATCACGTGCATATCTACTATTCATTTCCAATTCATACATTGATATTTTGTGGGATTCATTACAATTCTTTCTAAGAAGTTATTACTTATAGTTTTATACAAGAATAATACTATTCATAGTGAAAATTACTGATAATCATTCTACGTAGCATAAATGTGTCCGTATGAATAGCATTGGTCTCTATACAAACATTGGCTGAATTTATTACATAAATATATGTAACATTTCGTAGCAAAAATAGTTGGATCTTGAACCATTCAAATGTTTGACTTTATTTGGTGGGGGTTGGGGGTGGTGGTCTATGGATCACGAGCACAAGATGTAGATATTATAAAATTGGGTATGGCTTCATACATGCTGATGCTTTCAGCCTGGCTCAAACATGTATCTACTATTAATTAGTATTGGGGGTGGCGTTAAAACAAGTATGTCTCTAAAAGTTCTACTTAACCCCTCAACTGCTAAAACTTTACACATCACATGTACTAAAAATATAGTGTACAAGGAAATTATTTCGTTTATATATTTATAAAAGACGTCGTCGAAGCAATGCAGATGTGTTATATTTTTAATAATACTCACATTTAGTTTTGAATACTGTTCTAATAATTATAATATGTGCCTTTTTTTCCTTTTTTGTATCTATTCAGTGGCGACATTACGTACTACTTCACGTATTTATATTACAATTTCTCTTTCCATTTTTTCTGTTGTTTTTTTTTATATTGCAATGAGAACGTGTGATTAAAAAATATAAAAAAAAAATTTGAGTTTACGTGCAGAATATCTTATTGTATGAATGTGTGGTTGAAAATGAGTACGTAGAAAAAAGAGTTTTCAAATAATGATTATCAAACAAGGACGTATAAATTCAACGTTTTATTCAAGTAAAATATAACATTAATTTCAATCACGTGCATATCTAGCTACTATTCATTTACAATTCACACATTGATATTTTGTGGGATTCATTACATTCTTTCTAAGAGGTTATTAATTATAGTTTTATACATGAATAATGTTATTCATAGTAAAAATTACCGATAGTCGTTCTACATAGCATAAATGTGTCCGTATGAATAGCATTGGTCTCTATACAAACATTGGCTGAATTTATTACATAAATATATGTAACATTTCGTAGCAAAAATAGTTGGATCTTGAACCATTCAAATGTTTGACTTTAGATCAACCCTTCAGTAAATCCAATTCATTTTTTTCTGAGATTTGCTGCTATCGACATGTTTCCAGTCTCTACAATCTTGACAAACCGGTATGAAATTTAAAAAAGTCCAAGCCTTCAAACTTACTTATTAATAAAAGAATTACTTATTTATTTACTTTGTATTTTGTAAGTGGATCCTTGATTATTTTCCAATCCATCGTTTGTAAAATAAAAAAATAAAAATTTGTCATCTGTAAAATGAATATCACAAGCTTCAATATTCAAGTTGAGATATTTCGAGAAAAAATTGTCTAATATAGGGCTGTAAGCAAAAACCGCCAAATTGGAAAACCGAACCGAAACCGCAATTTCGAAACCGGCGGTTTGGTGCCACGTGGATCCGTCAACGAAATGGTTTTGAACCAAACCAAACCGGTCAAAAACGGTTTGGTTTAGGTTTGAGAATTTTAATTATGGTTTGAAACCAAACCGGACCGACGAAAAATATATAAAATAAAAAAATAAAAA